AGTGTCCCCTTATTAGTCAACGTTATTTTCTGATCTTATACAAGGAAAGTTTACATTTTAAGGTTATAGAATCTTTGGGAATCTATGGGCTATTAAAGACCACCCTCCGGAGAATTGCCCATACAAACAAATTTGGGTTTCTCTGAAGTCAGAAAAAAAAGATTCTTTAAGATGAAATGAATTCCAAGAAATGAATGCCTGCTTTGACCCACTTTCTGATCCTCTCATTCGAACTTCAGGCTGCTGATTCCCACATGTCAAGATCTCCCTCTTATGCTTCAAACCCTCAAATTGATTGACCTACTAAAATATTGTGTCTGACCCCTGTTTCTAATTAGTAAAAGATTTACCTTATATTAATTTAAGATTATTTACTGTAGCTTCCATATCCACAGAGAATTGATCCAATCCTTTTTTCACACGATAGCCCTTTCCATACATGAAGACAGCTATGACAAACCCAGCTGCTTCAGTCTCCTTCCTTAAAATGAGTGTCTCCAGAATGCTCATTTTGTCTGAAGGAGTAATAACTTGTCAGTGTCCCTCTTAAAACTGGGACTTACCGTGGGTAACAGTATTGTAAGTAGGTTTTGACACTGCAAAGTATCTATCATCTCTCATGTTACATAATGTCTTAAAATCACTCTGGTTTTTCTCATTTCTTATTCATATTAAGATGTCAACTAGAACTCCAAAGTCTTTTCACAATTATTGCTGTTACAACATATTTCTTGGGGCGCCTGGGTATCTCAGTTGGTTGAGCATCTGGCTCTTGATTTTGGCTCAGGCCATGATCCCACGGTTGGGCGGTCAAGCCCCATGTTCAGCTCCGTGCTCAGCATGGAGCCTGCTTGGGGATCTCTCTTTCTCTCCCTCTGCCCCTCTTCCCCACTGTACTAAGTAAATAAATACACAAACAAACAAACAAACCCTACCTTTCTCACATTTTTGTAATTCCACGGCACGATTTTTTAACAATTATCAGAATTCATCCTGGTTTCAACCTAGTATTCCAAATCCAAAGTCATTTTTGAGTTTTTATTCAGTCATCTGAGCTGCTGCCAAAGGGCTGTTATGTGCCATTAGAAACACCTTCCATTTGGATACTGGTTCATTGATTTCACGGTACTAGCAATGAGCTCCTTGAGCTAAACTACAGTTAAAACCAATTTGTCAACAAACGTATATTGAAAGACTTTTTCAAATAGCTGGAGGGAAAACATATATTGGAAGAAAATAGTCATTTGGCTTATCAGTCAAGAGATTCTCTTCAGAAAAAGAGATGCCCCAACCTGTTCTTGGTGTTATTATCACTGCTTCACATATACTGGAAATGTTGATCAACTACTCCTAGAATTTAGCAAGGGATTTATTACAAGCTCATCAAATAATAGGTCTCAAAAATTACTTTGCTTCCATTTTTGACAATTCTAAAATTATTTGTCCAGCTGTCAGTCTTCTGGTACCAATCTTCTTGTTCCCCACACGTTCTCAGAAGTGTGGTCAGTGATTTTAAAATCCCACCTGCAAACATTAGGGGAGGCTGACTGGATTGTGCCCAGGGCATCCCCATGCATTTCTTTGTACCTTTCTGTAAATCTATAATTATTTCACAATAAAAATATGTTTAAAGGTGTCCCATTTGCAAAGCTCAGTATCCTAGGGTATAATGTGTCTGAACCTAAAGTTTTAGATAGAGTTTCAAAGTTAGACACCTTGTCAAGTAGCTTACCTATTTTGGGCTTCAGTTTCTTCTTGCTCACGTTTGTTTTATTCTTTCTAGTTTGAAGACAGTTTTCTTTATTAGAGAAGAGTGAACCCCTTGGGAGTAGAGCAGTTCAGTGTTCCACCTGCCACCCATTCTCTCTCTCTTTTTTTTTTAATGTTTTATTTATTTCTGAGAGAGAGAGAGAGAGACAGTGTGAGCAGGGGAGGGTTAGAGAGAGAGGGAGACACAGAATCTGAAACAGGCTCCAGGCTCTGAGCTAGCTGTCAGCACAGAGCCCGATGCGGGGCTCAAACCCACAAACTGTGAGATCATGACCCGAGTGGAAGTCGGATGCTTAACCGACTGATCCACCCAGGCGCCCCAATTCTCAATGCACCTTATCTACTCTTCCCTTCTTTAGCATGTGTTCATCACTAATTTGGGTCATCACACTTTCCAGTAACTCTCTCTTCCTCTGGCTTGTCCTTTTTGATTTTCTTCCTACCCAGTTTCATGTCATTCCTTCGCCTTTGTTCTTAACCATGTGCTCTCCCCTCTGCCTTTGATCTGCATACTTGCAAAATCTAACTTCATTGGAGACCTCCTGGGTGCAAGGTGTACATGCTTTTCAGGTGCTGTAAGCTGCTACACCAACATTATTATCATGGAGAACACTGCTTCTCTTTTATTACCGTTTCAGTTACTCTTCTGTATGGGTTTCCTTTTTGTCTTCTGAATTTAAATTATTTATATACTAGAAAATTGCTCTGGCTTACCTGGGGAAAGAGGAGATTTTAAAATGTTGTCAGCAGGCCAGGAAGATTTAAGACCTTGTGGAAATGGTATTATTCCTATAAAACTCCAAACTGCTTTATCTAGACCCTCTTAGAGTCCACTCCCCTGCATTAAACTTTTTCATGGGAAGACACTTCCGGTTCCATTGTTCTCTCTCATTAGGGGACTGTGAAGCCCAGCTGGGATTCTTTCAAATGACTTGCACTTGAAGTTGGGTGTAACCTGTGAGAAACGATCTATCACCCCATCCCTTAGCTCCACATGCAATGTTTTGGAGACTCCTTTCTCAGCCAGACTTCTGCTAGGATGCCTACTTTCTAGTAACTTCTCCCAAACATTCAACTGTAACCATTTAGTCCATCCGCATCACAGATGGGATGCCGAATTGCTTACGGTGTACGCTAAGGAGAGGGTTAATGGCGAGTTTCCAATAGGCCTTTATCTGAACCCCTTAAAAGCTGGATACTAGAAAAGTACAGATTCACACGTAGCAAGAAAATACGTCCAGTCAAATATAATCCCATCTGTACCTGCCAAAATCTTCACTCTGCTTTACCAACATCCTTGTAATAACATTGGTAAAAGGTTCTGACACTTAGATAAACGCTTCATTCAGTTCCCTGACTCCTTTCAGGAAGAAACAGGAAAATTCCAAATACAGTCCACTCAGTTATCAAGGTCTTCTTATCCAGTATGTGAAGGATCCAAGCCTTTTGTTTCTCTTCCCACTCCCTCTGACTACCTACATTTGGGATGTATTAGTTCCACTCTGTACCACCACTTCAGGGCACTTTGAGAGAAAAGACTCTTAGGTTGCCAGAAATGTTTTTATTTTACTTTTTATTAGCATGCCTAATAAAGAGCTGGGTGAGTGAAGCCTTTGGAACCAAGGCACAAACCAGAGCTTGACGGTTCCAAGTCAATCTGACTCTGAAACACTTAGTTCCAAGATATCTTGACTTAGCAACAACAATAGCTACCCCCAAATGGGCCTCCTTCCCATAGAGATTGCTAGAGATTTCTGTTTTCTTTCTCTGCTGATCCATTTTCTTGCTATTTTCTCTGTCAGAAAAGATAAACGACGCATAGCGAAACAACATGTGTTATCATAAATAAACTGTAAAATCTTTGAAAATGTTGAGAAACCTCCATCAGGATGTCCATCAGATTTCCATCAATCTCTTATCCTCTTAAGGCATAAGGGGGAGGGGGAGGGAAAAATGAAAAAAAAAAAAAGAGAAGTTTATTAAATCGGACCCCCACATCCCACAGTTTTGTAGGATTATGTGACTGCTTTCTAGCTTTTATGCAGTGAAGGAGATTTGACCTGCATATGGTTTAAATAGGCTTCGGAGGTTTATAGGAGCCAGAGACCCTAACTGTGTCTACCTCTGTTTCTTTACAGAAAATGTGTTTAGGTTTCCAAAGAAAGGCTTCACAGGCAAATTTTGGAATGCAATTTGTATATAATATAGAGCCTACCTAGGGCCCTGGAACCTTGTTTTGCTGCTGCAGCCTCTGCTAGCAGAGAATCTCAGGCTCAAACAGTCCCAGTAGAACTGACTCTGAAATGCTTTAAAGAGAAGTTAGAAATTGATTCGGGCAGTTAGTTTGAGCACGCAGGCTAGGACATTGCTGAAGTCGTATTACTTCCGATGGCACCTGGGACTTAGTTACTTTAAGTGCATAAATCAGCCTTCTGAGAAATATTCTGTTTCCTGAGCTTAGTTTAAGCTGAATTACCAAGTGACCCTATAGAATTATTTTATTCCCCTTTCGCCTGAATTCCTGTGGAAAGGATTAGAATCCACATTGTCTGTTTTCATTGGCATGTCGCCTCTCACCCCACCCCATTTTAATAACTTCATCTCCTCGAATCTACAATCTGTACATGGCATTTTATCGAAATTTGCCGAGTGTAAATGCCCAAAGTTAACCAGACCCCAACTATTCCTACAGCAACCGGTGCATGTACACAAGACGTGATGGGGGCCCTTTGGGTCCCAATCATTTCCCAGGGACATAAAAACAAGAGTCTTTGCTTTGCCAGATCTCCCAGAGCTTTATGACATCACCAGGAGTTTTGTGACACCATCGCTTTAAAATACAGGCTTTGGCCCTAGACTAGGGGCACAGGAACATGTTTATTGATGGAGGCACTGGAGGAAGGACTGGAGATTGGAAAGGAAAGACCCCAGAGTTGCGTGGAGAAATATTCCTGAGAGAAAACCAGATCCAGGAATTTTCTAAGGGGACCAGAAGCAGGCAAGTCTAGGAGGGCTGAATAGGCAACAGTGAGTTGGAATCATTTTTTTTTTTCCAGGTAAAAAAAACCATTTGTGTATGTGTTTAGTTTTGAGAGAGAGAGAACAGGAGCTGGGGAGGGGCAGGCACAGAATCTGAAGCACACTCCAGGCTCTGAGCTGTTGGCACAGAGCTCAACTTGGGGCTGGAGCCCATGAACCACAAGATCATGACCTTAGCTGAAGTTGGATGCTCAACCAACTGAGCCACCCAGGCACCTTGGATTTTTCAATTTTCAGTTACTAGGTGGACACGAGAGTTTCTCAGCCTCACTATCTCAGACTCCAAAGGTAACAATAAAGAAGAGATGGTAGCAGTAAAATGTCATCATGCAAAACCGAATTGAATTTGATCCTTCCTCAGTGCACCCACCCTTTCCCAATACCATTTCTTCTAGATTCCATGACCCTGGAGTTAGGAGTCTTAATGCTCTCATTCTGGAATTTCTGGCCATGAGGGACACCCTGTGGACTTCATCAACACAAGTGAGGTTTCTTCACTTTATACTATATGATGATAGAAGTCTCTAAAGGAGTATTTATTGGAAAAGACATCTTGTGAGTTTACAAATGACTAGGCGCATAAAGCCAAGTGTAAAAAAATACAAAACTCTATAAAGTGTTGGTGTCTAATTATAGTTCCTCGAGACATAGATAAAAGTCAGGATGGCTGCTAACCATCAAAGGGTACCTGGGCTGTGGACCCATTTCTACAACCCAGATCAAACTAAAGTGAATGTTAGGCCAGATTTTCCACTTTTTTTTTTTTTTTTAACCAGAAGGCAGATTACAGTTAGTGCTGCATCCACATTTCATAGGAATATCTGTTTCTCTCATCACATTTTGACATGGTTCTGTATGATTCTCCTAAGCCCCTTTGAGGCTACTGCCCTAGAGCCAGAACCCTGGAAGCTGGGCATTCTAGACTTTATGTGTAATAAGTAAGGAATCTCCAAATTCCCTGGACAAGGCTCAAATTTCTACTATCTCTGAGTCCACAACTGAAAAACAGGTAACGCAACGATATATATGAAAAAGGATCAAAACCTCAATGACCTCAGCCTCCCCACACAACCAATACTCGTTCCCACTTACTCATTAGACCTCCCCTTGACAGAACCCAACAATTCAGTTCTTGAGCCCCAGAGGAATCCCTATTTCCTGCATTCAGATGGCAGATATGGAGGCTTCCATCTCTCCTTGTTGGTGCCCTGATCACCCTCTTATGGATTCACCACTGAGAGAGTCACACTTCGTGGTGGCATGTCGGCAAATGGGAGAAGAAGATACAAATCCTTTTGAACCAGCGCTGTGAAGTTTACAGTCCCATTGCCTTTTCTCCTCCCTGAAATGCAAATAAACCAGAAAGAGAAAGCCGGATAAATGAAGTAAATGATGATGTTTCTCATCTTGGTAGACTGACTCCCGGGAATAATGAAGTTTTCACTGGAGAATTTTATTACGTACAATTTCCATTTGGGAGAATCCTGCTCCTTGGAACAACTAGTTTGGGGTTTGTCTGGAGTTTTTTTCCCCCTCTTTTGGAGGGGGTGCAGTGCTGGTCTAACAGGAGCGTTGTAAAACCCTGGAAAATACATAAAGCCGAAGAATTCTAGCAATTAGAGATGGCGTAGGCCCATTATATCATCCTGCAGACCCGGGGGAATCCGTGGAAGATTCTTTCCTAGAACAGATTTTCTAGTTCCTTATCCTGTTGATTTTCAAACGGCTCGAGGGATGGAGTTTCCACCACTTCCTTTAGTACATATTTCCCCAATCTCATAATTCTCTGTGTCATAGTTTTTCAGGGCGTTTAATCCAACTGTTCCTTTTCTAAACATGACAACTGATCTCCTTTGCTCAAAATCGTGTCCACTTGTTAGAATGGACAATACTCTTCTGAAACTGTAAACACTTTCCACTTTTTATCAGAATTCTTCCCTGATATTCTCTCTTTCTCTCCTCTCTCTCTGCCATCACAGCTACAGGTGGGGCAGAGAGCATATAAAAGAGACCTTGGCAATTGGCGCATGGAATTTTAGACTATTTGAGCCATAATGTCTCAACACCAGAGCTCCTTTCAGTGTTTCAGGGCTTACACTGCCAGACTAATATCTCCTTTCAGGGCCACACACAGAGCATGCACCTCACATTGACACTCCTAGAATTTTGCAGTGCACAACCTCAACAAACCTACACAGTCCTATAAAAAAATATCCTTCCCTCATATTCAGTAAGGTCTCATTCAAATTCAGCTTGCACATGAATGTATGTTGATGTATATACGTGCCTATGCATGTTGGGATTATAACTGTAAAATTCTTTGGTGTATTTTCCTCACAAGGGTCCTAACAGAGTACAGGGCTGAGAATCATGAGAAAATCAGAAACCCATGTTGTCTCCAGCTGCTTTATTTAACAGATAAAGCTAGGAAACTTAAAAGTTCTGTGATCAGATGTAACTTACCCAGACAACAAGATCAGAAAAGGAACCCAATACCCTCTTGAGTCTACTGTCCTACTTAGATCTTGTTCTGATAACTTCCCTACTATGCCTTTGAGAGTGTCTTTACCTTCCTCTAGACCCCAGTTTCCTGAGTCAGAAATGACAAAGTGAGCCAGAGAAAAGGTGGCAAACTACGGTCCACAGAATGACTTTCTTAGCAGTGTTTATTTTTATTTTTTTATTAAAGTGTTTTAAGGTTTATTTATTTTTGAGAGAGCACGCACACCGATCAGAGGAGGGGCAGAGAGAGAAGGAGACAGAATCCGAAGCAGTTTCCAGGCTCCGAGCTGTCAGCACAGGGCTCGACTCGGGGCTTGAACTCATGAACCACAAGATCATGACCCGAGCTTAAGTCAGAAGCTTAACTGACTGAGCCACCCAGGCGCCCCCCAGCGTTTACTTTTTCAAATGAAGTCAATAGACTTTTTTTTTTTTCTGTAACAGTCTGAGTTTTTTAATTCTAATGAATACCACTTAGTCGCCTCCTCACCTCCAGACCTATCCCCCACCCCACTACCTCCTAGCTCCTACTTTCCACTCTGAAGATCAGTCTCTCCCCAGGGTACTGACTCCATCAACTCCTCTTGGAGCTGGTGTCTCATTACTTATTTGCCAAAAAGTTCCCCGAGTCACTGGTTCCTGTCATTTGATAGACAAGAAGACCTTGTCACAATTTCTCACGGCACCAATGAGCTGGAAAATACAGGAGCTGCCTGCTTTCAATGGGCTATGCACCTTCCAACCTCGGCTCACTTCTCTAATCGGGCTACCTGTCTCCCCACGCGGGGATTTTAGTCTGTGACTTCTGCATGAATGGTGATGCACGACATTGTTTTATATACTATGCAGATGCATCACACACAAATGTGGCTCTGGGTGGACACACTGTGATTCCATTGTCTATTAATTAGGCCAACTAGCAAGTTTTTACTATGTGACCAGGCTGTGCTTTAAACTGACCAAACAGACTAGTGGTTTTGGCATCATGTGAAGGCTGTCTCGGTAAGGCTCTGCTGAACTTCGTACAGAACTGTGCCAAATTATATGCAAATTTGTATTCTTCATGGGAGCTGAGAGCTTTGGCACTTAATTTTGATTTTTTTCAGAGCTAAGTATGTAGCATTGGCCAAGTTCTGCATGTTTAATCCTTTTAATCATTCAACATAAATCATGCTCTCAGTCCCTTAATCATTCTTGTTATTCTTCTTTGAAACTCCTCCAGTTTCCTTACATCCTTCATTGCATAAAGAAGAGTTTTTTAACAGGCCTGTTTCACTTCCAAGAATCCATTCTGTGATGGAAACAGTGGGGGTTAGAAGATCCAATGCCATGAGAGACTCCAAGGGAAATGCAAGGCGTGGTCCTCGAACAATCGCAGACATTCACGGGAACTAAAAGGATATCTGACCGACTTGTCTGCCACATCAGACCCCGAAAACTAATTTTGTATCCTTTTTTTCTCTTAAGTAATACAGAGAAGGATTTATATGGGGCGCTTTGGTAACAGAGCCTACATTCTTGTATCATGTATTTATTTATTCAGCATCTACTACGTGAATGAGAGAGGTCTTACTCTTCCCATGTTGAGTCTAGGGAGATAAACATCTGGTAAGATCACATCTCTTAGCTTCAGAGATTTGACGATCACCTATCAACCCTTCCCCCTTTAATTTGGTCAGAGAGGTGCTAGAGAAGAGTGTCTCAGAGAAACTCTAAGGAAACACACACCCTAGAGGAAGTGGAAAAAAGCAAAGTTGACAGAGTGTCTTCATATTTATCTACCTTTTCTTGTATCTACTTTTTCTTTTCTCTCCAGGTGTCTCCCTGTCTCCAACTAGAATATAAACTCCAGGGGAACCATGGTTTGCTCATCAGTCTACCTCAAAACCCAGAAAGGTGCCTGCCACGGAGTTAAGTGTTTGCAAACTGCTTGAGGAATGAATAAATAATCACCTTCAGCTTACCACTTCATGCTTTGAAAAGGATAATTGATACTTATTAATTTTATATAAAGTTTTATGCAAAGTATAACGTCAAGGCAATTCCTTCCTCACATTCTAACATACTTTTCAAATCCTATTAGTGCCTGATAGATCCTCTTAGAGAGGAATTTAGAGCCACCATTGTTCAAGGCCACTTAGTCCAATTGATACATGAATCCCCCTTATTGGCCATCCTACCAGCTATCATTCAGCCTTTGCTTGAATACCTCTAGGAACAGGGAGCTCATTTTCCCCCAGGGCAACCATCCTGTGCAGTCATGATGATTAGAATACTCGTGCTTAAATTTAGCTAAGATCTTTTTTTCCATAGCCTTCACCCATTCTTTTCGTTGTCAGAAGCTAATGCATCTTTCTTTCCTCTGGGCAACCCTTCAGGTATTTTGAGACATGAACACATCCCTCTTAAAATTTCTCTTCTGTATCTTAAATGTCCCTTGTTCCTTTCCACACCTAGAAAAAGTATAGCAGAACTTCTAGCTTGGGAGCATTGCATATATTCACCTTGAGGATTGAAACACGAACGACAGGAATGGACCAGTCGGGTGTCTGTTTATGGGGAGGACGAAAGAGCTTCATAAGGAAATCAGCAAGTAACAGGTTAACTGACTAGAAATCATCATTCAAGAGGCATAGATCAGCATGAGAAGGGAGGAATGTTCAGGGACAGGAGCTAAGCCCGTTCAGTTCGTGGATCCCGTTTTCTACCCTCAGGAACTTGTGCCAAACTTGCGGAGAAGGAACACTGAGGATCAAAGGCCAAGAGCACAGAAATCTCTGGTCAACACTGAAAATACAAGGCAACGCTTCTGATGCTGGACACCACATAAGATGGAGAAGCGGGGGAGACTATCGCATCACACTGGAAGGAAGGGACAGTATTGGCTTCCAGGGGCGGGGCGCAGAAGCCAAGCCAGGGACATGGTAGAGAGAGCAGCGGCAGGTTGCAGGGTTTCTTTAAGGAGCAGCTAGAGTGAAAGGGAGAAATTGTGCACCGGGAGCGAGGGTTGGCCAAAGGGGAGAGGGTCAGCATGAGGCATGCCTGAGATTCTGGGTAGCATTTGGGGAGGACTTCAGTTCCTATGAATCTGCCAAGAGAGAGGCCCTTCTGCTACGGTTGTTCCCCAGCATCAGGAAACGTGATTATAAGTCATAATGATCACACCAGCTTCTCTCTTCCGGGTCTGTGGGCCCCACACTGCATCAACACTGGGGCAACCCATTCCATCCTCAAAACGATCCTTTTAGGCAGCTACAGTTCTTATTCTCATTTTACACTTGAGAAAATTAAAGTTTAGTGGATCTATCATCTCCAAAATCACACTGCTAATAAATGGCAGGGCTGTGAAGTAGAGCTCCTTCTTTCTAACTTTAAGCTTGGCTTCTCAAATGACATAAAATTATGCATTTTCGTCTAATTTCCTTGTATCGCAGCCCAAACTTCTGTAGGAAAGTATTTACATTTGAGTTGAATATGTTTGGGGCCTTAACCAATGCTTTTTGTTAAAAAAAAAAAAATTGCCGCACCTAAGTATATATAGCACATCATACCAAAAAAAGGGAAAAAAAACCTTTTGCAGAAAAGTGAAGTTACTTGATTCCTGCAAGAGCTGTTCTTTTTTTTTCAAAGATCTTTGTTTATTTATTTGTTTATTAATTAATTAATTTATTTATTGTGGCGGTGGGGAACACAAGTGGGGAAGGGACAGAGAGAGAGAGAGAGATTGAATCCCAAGTAGGCTCCTGCCTGTCAGGCAGACCCCAATGCAGGGCTTGAACCCACAAACTCTGAGATCATGACCTCAGCTGAAACCAAGAACTGACGGAGCCACCC